TTGTAAAGATACTTGATGTACTGACTACAAAACAAATGTTTAATAAATGTCATGCATCTAATGCCCTTAGCCAATTTAAAAAAAAAAAATAAATAAATAAATAAAAAAAATTTATTTAACTTTAGAAAAAATTTTTTTTAAATTATTTGATTTATTTTTTCTTTATGAATTATTTATGAATTATTTTTTATTATAAATAAGCAATTCTGTTTTGAATACTTGACAATATTATTATAATATTTAATATATTATTTAAGAAAAATAATTAAGAAATCGTTCTTTTAATTTTTAAATCCAAAATAAATTATAATTAATTTATTTTTTAAAAAATTAATATAGAATAATTATATCATTGATTTTTAAATCATTAATATAGATAAATTCATCAACTTTTATTTATATTTTTTTTAACCATATGATTACACAGATTCAAGCCACAATTCAAAAGACAAATATTATATTGTTCTTTTTATAGTTAATTAAAAACCGTACCGTTCAAAATTAAAAAAATTTTTTTTTGTATTATATGATAATTCAAACAAAAACATAAGATTCTTTTTTGAAACTTGTATTAAAAAAATTTTTTTAATTCATATAATTCATACTTAATTACAATAAATATTTTTCTATTTTTTCAAAAATATAATTTCGGTTTATTACGTTAAAATTTCAAATAAAATATTCTTTGCTTTAACAAATGTTATTTCAAAATATATTAAGTATATCCGGCACTAAAATCAACTAGTTTGATGCTTCGGATGAAACATACTTGTAAGCAAAATAACCTACAACCACCAAGATTGGAATTAAGTAATTGATAATACTGAAATATGAAAATATTAAAAAAATTGATATATAATGTATATATAATAAAAAGGAAACATTTTGCGATTTTAGTACCTTGATGATTCGTCCTTTGATGGTGATGGTTTTGATGGGGTAGGCTTTTCTTTTTGTGGAGGAGCTCCCTTTGATCACGTGATAAATTAAAATCATTAAAAATTGTTTCTTTTTCTACAAAACTCTTTTTACTGAAAGCAAAATAAAAATATATAAATATTTCCGTTTTACGGTTAGTTCTTACTAACCCCAACCAATTCACCAACTTCAAGATTTTTCAAAATATCACGAGCTTCTTCGGAATGCCCTATGGATTCAAAAGCATCAGTGGCGTCCAGACCTCCCTCTTCCATAAGAACTTCTTC